ACCCCCGGGATTTTGGTATCTGTGTTGAGGAAAAAATAACGTAAACTGAGCCACTTCAAAATGGAACCTGAACTGCTGTCCCAGAGGAACTGCCTTGCAGATGTTACTCCTCACACCTTTGGAATGTTAAAACAGGCAAAATAACCTCCGGTCTGGGCCCAAAGCAACACTGTCCCAACGAACTGTTTGCAACAGAAAAGCAGATTATGACTACAGGGCTGAAAATGTAAAACATTTGTTAGAATCAGCGGCACTATGTTATCTGCATGACAGAACTGTGTTTCTGTTATTGATGGGACTGTCCCCCTCCCTTTGCATGAATGCCCGTTGCCTGTGTCTCCTAATCAGAACGCTATTTGGGCTTCTGCCTGAATCAGTGTTTCCTGAATACCTCTTCTTCGATCTCGGATAAATGCTTCTGCCCCTCACTTTACCCTTGTATTCCTAGGTTGACGGTGTAAATGCCCCTGTCTCCTAAAAGCCACGAAGGTGACACCAAAGGGCTTCCAGGCTGTGCTCTGGGAGATTCTGACCAGGCTGCAAGGCCTTGGCCCGCAGCTCCCTCCCCTGGCAGCTGGGGATCCATGCTGAGTGTCCCCCTGCTGGCCAGCAGCGCCCCCAGCTCTTCTCCCTGCCCCTCAAGCAGCTCCTCAATGGACAGGAGCCCCCATCTCCTCACCAGTTGGAATTCCCGGTTTGTGGGCCTGGCGTCCCCACTGTGAGCAGCCAGAGACCTTTGACCCTGCCACCTGATGTGTTTGGCTTTGCAGGCTGTTGACAGGTTGGTTTCCAGAAGGGCCATGTCTTCATCATGCCCTCCCCCACCCCAGGGCCTGCTCAGAGTGCTGGAGCCCCACTGCCAGTCACCCCTGGAATGTGGACGGGGCGTTGCCACACACCTCAGCCTGGCAGCAGGTTCCACGGGCTGCATCTGAGACCTCTCAGGAGCTTTGGGGGTCCTCCAAGGAGAAACTCCCGCACCCCATGCCATACCCTGCGGGCGAGAACGGCCCCTCACCTTTGTGCTTGCTCATGTCGATGAGCCGGAAGGCAGCCCGGGCAGCATTGAGGGCCCCCTCCACCACGTCCTCGGGCCGCCCCACGAAGGTGTAGACAGTGCGGTTGGTGGAGGGGCCGGCGTCCACGTCCAGCAGCACGCAGCCCGGGGTCTGCGCCACGGCTTGGGAGATGGCATCGATCACCTGGGGACGAGAGCCCGACCCACTCCTGGTCTCGCCACTTGGAAGAGGGAAGAAGAGCTTCAGAGGTGGCTGTGCCTCTCCTGTCCCCCACCCAACTGAACGTGTACCTCGCAAGCTGGCACCGAGCATGTGGGAGTTCCCCTAGACGCAGGAGCCTGGGGAGACCCACCGCCAGCTATAGTCGCCAAGCAGGGGCAACAAGTGGCATCTCCAGGTGAAACTGGGGCAGGAAGCAGAACCCAGGCAGAGGCGCTGCCAGGGCTCTGAGAAGGTGACTGACAGGCCAAGGTCACAGAGGTCAGGGTTCCAGCCCCTCCAAGAGGCCTCCAGTGGGAGTAGCTGCATGGGGGGAGGGGCATAAAAGGCCCAGAACCTTCTGAGGTGACAGAAATGCCCAGCAGTTAGCAGCAGGGACCCAGGGTCCAAACTGCTCTGTAGCCTGCCCAGCTCTCTGTGCCTCAGTTTCCTCATAGGCGACGTGAGGATAACAACAGTGCTCACCTGTGGGGCTGTGGGGAGGGGGAAGGGCATGCATGTCACTGTGGTTGATAGGAGGTGGTCCCTTTTGAGAGAAGACAGTCCCAACCCCACGCGGAGCAGAGCTTTGGCTCCTTGCCCTGAGCCCCTTGCGCTGCCCCCGCCTGCCCCCGGGCATCTCACCTCCTGGTTGTTCCCCTCTGAGAAGTTGGGGACACATTCCACCAGGCGAGCCATGGTCTGGGCCTTGAGCTTGAATGGGTGCTCCTCTCACGAGGCAGGAGGAGGGGAGGAAGGACGGGCTCTCGGTGCCCAGCAGGGCCTTTATACTCCCCACCGGGCTGCTTATTAACCATCAGTTAGGGCAAGGAGAGGGACAGGCTGGTCCCGTGCAAACACCAGGCACGGATCAGCCTGGGGAGGGGCGGAACAGATCCCGGGAGGCTGCCGGGGTTGGAGGAGGATCGCACTGCCCGGGGTGAGCACTCCTGAAAGAAGCTCCTGTGGCCTGGACCCTCGTGGGCAAATCCTCACTAGACCATGATCTCAGGTCAGCTGAGATTCCACTCCCACCTTGGCCCAGGGCCATTTGGTGGCCATCTGTGTGACCTCCCTCATGACCCTCCCAGTGACCCTCTGGGCCTTCGTTCATTCACGTAAATGCCCAAGCCTCAGGGTGTCCGAGGGACAAGAAGGGCACTGGCCTCAGCACTGGCCTGGCTCTGGGCAGAGGTCAGCTTAGCCTGGTCAGGCAGGGCCGTGGGAAGAGGGTGTGGGCAGGCAGGCCAGACGAGGCCCCAGCTCTCCCCAGCTGTGGCTGCTGCTCCCCGAGGCCAGGGTCTCCTCCCAAAGGGCACCGGGCCCCTGGTCAGCAGCACAAGGATCTGTACTCAGAGTGCCGCCCTCAGGTCAATGCTGTCTTGAAGTCCTGGATGATCTTTAATCAGGGCAGGAGTTTCATTCTGCAAAGGCCTGCCAATCACGTGGCCACCTGGACAGCACATGGACACCCACAGGCCCCTGCCAAGAGCCAGTCGTCCCCATCTGTCCTCCTCCAGGCACAGGTGCGCCACACAGCCTTTAGGGTGGTCAGTGTCTGAGGCTACATCACCCCTTGGCAATCATCATGGGGCCAGGGCAAGGAGGTGCCCAGATCTTCAGATCCCCAGCTTTTCAACTCAAGGGGACTCAGAGGAAGAGGGACCCTACCACCCTGGAGCAGACAGGCGAACCCAGAGACCTTCTGAGGCTGGGGACTGGCCGGGTCCTCTCCAGCCACGGCTCCCCCAGGTGAGTGTGGGTGACCATCGGTGACGGCCGTACCACCTCCTGGTCCCAGGGAGGGACTGTGGAAGCCTCAGCAGCACCGGGCAGACCCAAAGGCCCAGCAAGGGCAGCTCTCCAAACTCGCCCTGATGCCAGGCCACACCTGGAGAGTCCAGCCAAAGGGCCCGCCAGCAGCTCTTCTAGCCGAGGACCCTGGGGCTGCATTCGTGCACCTGCAGGGGCCCCCAGAGGAGGGGAGGTCCTTGGCCAGAGGTCGGTGTCCAGTCGCTGGGAGGGGAGGATGGGGTCTGTTATGGAATGAACTGTGACCCTAAATTCACACATTGAAGCTCTAACCCCTAAAGTGACAGTATTTGGGGAGAGGGTCTTTCCAGAGGTTAAAATGAGGTCACTGGGGTGGGCCCTAATCGAACAAAACAGGTGTCCCTATAAGAAGAGACTGGGACACAGACACACAGAGGGACAACCATGTGAGGACACAGGAGACAAGGGGTCTGTGCAGCAAGGACAGAGGCCTCAGGAGCAACCAACCCCGGGGCGTCTGGGTCGTGGACACCCGGCCTCCAGGACTGTGAAGGTCTGTCGTGTAAGCAACCTGTTCCATGTGTTTGTTGCAGCCTGAACTGACCAGGCAGGGGTCTAAGCTCCAGGGCGTCCAGGACACACCAGGCTGTGAGGACTGAGGGACAGGTCGTCCCACAACTGAGGTTGACCCAGAAACCCCAACACCTTCATCCTGGTCCCCGCAACAGAGAAGTGACTGGAGACACTTGAAGCTGAACCCCAGGAAGGAGGCAACACCCTGGTCCTGACCGCAGGGCCCAGGAGGTCCCCTGCCCTGTCTGGGCCTCAGGAGAGGGCCTGGGCTCCAGCAGGAGCAGTGGTGCGTTTCCTAGGAGACAGCCCCGGCCTGGTCACAGCTGGAACACAAGACGCAGGGACTGGGCCTGGTGTGACTCTGGGTGTTACGACATTAAAAATTCTAGTAGATCCTATAAATAGTTCCTGAATAGGGGACCCCAGAAAGCTCCACCATTTATAGGGACACGTGATCTCACTTGGCACCCAGATCCTGGTTTCTATCACCATTCTCCAATGAAAGGAACCAGCACTCCGGATTCCAGATCCAGCAGGAAATAGACACAATGAGCTGATTAGCACCAGGTGCTGGCCCAGCTTCCTGGGTGGTCCTGCTTCCTTAAATTGTCTCCCAGATAAACTGCCTGCCCTGGGCCATCTTCACCCGCAACTGACTACAGGGTTGCACGGCCCACTCCCAGGTTAAATCTCTGCTGTAGCCATCTGGAAATTTCTAACTTGTATTTTTTTCCTCACCCAGGACATTTTTCTATTTTTTGTTCAAGTAGAGTAGGAGGGAGAGAGGGAGGGAGAGAGAGAGAGAGAGAGATTGACGTGAAAGGGACACATCGAGTGGCTGCCTCCCTCATGACCCAACAAGGGCCCGGGACAAACTCAGGACAAACTGGAACTGAGCTACGTGCCCTTAGCGGGAACCAAACCCGGGTCTCTCTGGACCGCAGGCCGACGCTCTAACCGCTGAGCCAAACCGGCCAGGGTGAAATTTCTAACTTTTGAACAAGGAGCCTGGGTTTTCATTTTGCACAGGGCCCTGCGGATTCTGCGGCCATCCTGCCCGCCCTAAATCCTTGCCTCAAGCTCTGCTTTTGAAAAAACCCAAGCTGTGATGGGACCCTCTGGCCCTTTCAAAGGGTAGGCCCTTGAGGTTGGGGGCTGGGGGCCCTGCCTAAGCCTCAGCCCTTCCCCCTCGGGGCTCTGTCCAGGTGTCATTCCACAAATACCAGGGCACCTCCTATGGCACCAGTGGCGACCAAGGCGCTGCCCACGCCCTCAAAGAGCCAGAGGTAAAGGCAAACAAGTAAACAGATGATTTTAATAAAGTGTGACAAGTGCCACGCAGATGTGGGCAGCTGGCGGGGCTGTGGGCGTTGGGTGCGCCCGGCCGGTCCATGAAGGCGCCTGCTCTGGCGAAGCGTGCCTCTCTGTGGCCCTGGGCACGCCCTCGGCGGACACGGACCTTCCCCCGGCTGGAGGGGACGCACAGGAGGCACGTTGGCCCCCGGGGGTTGGAACAAACACATTTATTGCAGGAAAGGCATGGCGGGTGCTGGAGTGCGGGCTCACCAGGCGAAGAGTGGCTTGCTGTCTTCCTTGGAGAGCTCACACAGGCAGTTGAGCAGCAGGAGAGAGTCGCCCAGGAACTTGGGGGGCACGATGTCGATGACCAGCTTGCGCAGGGCGGCCGGGCTGCTATGCAACGGGTTGGCACGCAGGTCGGGCCGCTGCTTCAGGATGCCATAGGTGTTGATGAGGAACTCACTGAACACGGGGTGCACGTCGCGGCTGTAGCCCAGCTTCTCCAGGCGCGCCATCAGCATCAGGTAGCGGTGTGTCAGCTCCCGCAGCTTCTTCTCGTCCATAGAGCCGTCCAGGGACTTGATGGATGTCTGGGGACATAGAACATGGGGCAGGTGTGTCTGGGCCCAGAACCCACCATGGGAGGCCAGGGCAGGGACAGTGACCATATTTCCATGAAGGAAGCTTAAAGATGGGGAAACAGGCCCAGAACCAAGCCCCCCACCATGGCAAGCGAGCTGGGTTTCCCACGCTCCCCTCCAGCAGACAGTGCCAGGCAGAAGAGCAGAGCCAACCGGGCGAGGAGGAAGCCAAAGTTTCTGTGGTCCTGGGAGCCACTCCTGAGACTGTCCCAGGCCACCAAGCAGGGGTGCTCATGGCAGGGGCTCAGCACACCTTGTGGTCCATGTGCCTTGGACACCCCTCAGCCTCTTCCAGGTCTACAGCTGTGCGGGGACCACAGGCGACAGGGCAGGGAGGGGACTTGGGGTAGGGAGGGGACCCCGGAGCAGGAAGGTGACCTTCATGGGGCAAGGAGGCACACCTGCTTGATCTTCTCGGGGATGTTGGACACGGTAAAGCCGTACAGCCGGGTCACCCCAGGGAAGACGTAGGCCAGGATACGCCGGTCCAGCTGGAAGGCGATCTCCCCAACGATGCGCCCATCCTTCTCCGCACTGGTGAAGCTATGGATCTCTGGGGTAGGGCAGTGAGACAGGCTGGGGTCCCCTATGTGTAGGGTCAAGGGCCACCTGCCTTCATCCTGTCTATGCTCCAGCATCTATTTTAGGGAAAGGACTGATTTGAAGGAGCTGCTGTGTGTTCCAGGCGAAGCCTGCGGGGCTCCTGGCAGGGGCTCCCCAACGGCCCTGGTCTTGGTAGTGATGTGAGGGTGCCCTCCTCTACCCCCACTGTGAGGGGAAAAGAAAACTGATATTTCTCTTGCCAGAAAGGAGAAGGGCCTTCCTCTCTACCCTTTCCTCTTTTTTTTTCTTTTTTTATAAATCCTCACCCGAGGATATTTCTCCATTGATTTTTAAATAGAGTGGAAAGGAGGGAGAGAGAGAGAGAGAGAGAAACATCTATGCGAGAGAGACATCAATTGGTTTCCTCCCGCACAACCTCGACTGGGCCCAGGGATCAAACCTGCAACCCAGGCACGTGCCCTTGACCAGGAACTGAACCCGCAACCCTTTGGTCTGGGGGCCGACGTTCTAACCACTGAACCAAACCAGCCAGGGCTCTTCCCTTTTCTGAACGTATTCCCTGGGAAACCTGAGATGCTAAGTCCTTGCTTCGTCCCTTTGAGACATTTTACAGCCCAGGATTGTTTTTCTTGTCCCCTTGTTACCAGGGAGTCTGCCCAGGCACCTGGGTCAAGGATGACCCCTGTTTGTCACAGAGACCCAGCCCCATGACCAGGTGAATAAGGGAGGTGCAGGCCTGTCCCATCACCCAAGGGCTGGGTACCGGTTAACACTGTTGTAGCTCACTGTCCTTAGAATCCAACTTGTCTTTGAGCTGCCCTAATTAACAACCTCAGAGACAGCAAGATGAACAATGGGGAATGTTATAGACGGCTTTAGCCCCATAAAAGTTAACCAGAGTTTGACCTTCACTGGGAATTTAAAAAGCAACATCCTTCAGGAAAAGGGAGGACAGAAACGGCCCCAAGGCCAGAGTGTCCTGCATGCTCTGTAAAGAAACTGATAGGGAGAAACTGAAGCTCCCTTTACCCCATAAAACTGTAACTGTTAAACATGTGTGTATTGCACCTGACTGACCGCTGATATCTGTCTCGAATTTATTAGTTTTTAAAACTTAGATAATAGAATGAATAGCAGAATAGATGTATGCTGACCCAGTTCACCCAGTTCCCTTTCGCCTCGGCTCCCTCCCCCCTCCGTTCCCTCCTGCTTATCGCTAACTGCCTCCACTTCTGTACACGCAGCTTGCTTGCTCTGCTAAACTCTTGAATGAGCCCTGCCCTATATAAGCAACCCTCCCCCTGAGCTCGGGGCTGCAGTTCTCCTCTGTGTAGGTTGGCTGCAGTCCCTGCGCAGGTAATAAAGCATCCCCAAAAAAACTGAAAAATTGAGTCTGAGTGTGGTCGATCTCCTGGGTTACAACATTCCGGTTAACACGAGAACATGTATGTAACACACACATCAGGTCCAGTCTGCCTGGCTAGCGAAAGGGGAGAGTCTGTCAGTCCTGCAGCCTCTGTGCCTCACAGGCAGGCTTAACGGGTATTCGATAGCACGACTCCTTTTCTGTGTTTGTGCAGAGGATTGCTATGTTGGCAGGAGATTCTATTTTCAATCATTTCCCAGATGTTACCGGGCACATTGACCACCCTTCCCCTCCAAGTCTTCTGTCTCCACAGCAGACCCTGATGTCACTAGTCATCCATCACACAATGTAATGTGTGTCAACACCCTTCAGAACCGTGTGCTCTTTGAAAACACCCTGCCAGTTATTACTGTCTGAAATTAGATGCCGCTTAAATTGAAAGACGCAAAGTGAGGAAAGGCGGTCAGCCACTCGGAGCCTGGAGACCGCACGCCTGGCACCCTACACCCCGATCTGCTCGGCACAGACTCTCCAGGTTCTGCTCTTCCATCTCTGCAGGACACACTTCATAATGTGCCCATTTCTAAAGCCCCCAGACCTTTTCCCGCCCAGGGTGTCAACTGGGTGCCGCCCTGCTGGGTCAGCCCAGCTTCAGGCACCGGGTGCGCAGGCCAGGTGCTGTGCTACGGACAACCAGCCCGGGTTCTGTCAGACACCTGTGCCCACCAGAGGCTCAGCCCCTGGCACCAGGCAAAAAGGTCTGCTGGACTCCCACCCTTGCTGGCCCCGTGGCCTTGGGGGGTTGCTGGCTGCTCTGAGACCAGCCCCAGGGAAGCTCCTGCACAGGAATCTGTGTGGCCTAAGTGCCTGGGCTCCAGGCCCAAGTCTGCCTGTGACCTGGGCAGTTTTTCAGCCTCCCTTGGCCCCATCCTGTGTCCATCCCAGATCCCTGCCCAGTCACTCTCACACAGGAATATGACAGCTGCTCAGCACGGGGTTGTCAGGTCCGGTCACAGTAGCCTCTTCCTTTCTGAGTGGGCCCGGGGCATAGGCCCGGGGCGCCTGTCCTTACGCTTGCAGGTGCTGACCGGAGAGCAGCTGGGGATGAGGCATAGTGGGGACACCCCAGGGAAGGGAAGCTCTGCAGATGGGGGTGGGGTGAGGGAAGGGTTGCAGGGGTGTGGCCGTCCCAGGCAGAGGGTCCTCCTGAACCACATGACCCAGAGCCATAGGAGGGCCATGTGATTTGGGTAGAGGGTCACAAGGTCACAGGTCAAAGAAACAGGAGAGGTGTGGACAGAAGCCAGGTCTCCAGAGCTCAGGACAAATGATGGGTGAGGGTGTTGAGAAAGGGATCTTGTGGGCGCTCGGGCAGCTAGAGCAGATCTCAGCAGAGCCTTTGAACCTCAGAGTTAACTCAGGAGGGATGGTCCTGGTGAGATTCTCCGGGACTTCCTGAGGGTCCTCTCCTGGCACTGTCCTGTAATGGAGCTGTCCTTGACTTCATTTACGCTCACAATGACCCTATTTGGGGCCGCAGACGCAACTTACACCCCAAGGAACAGGGCTTAGGGGCACACTGCTTCCTCAATCATTCAGTGCTGTTTATTGAGATATAATTCACTTACTATAAAATTCACTCTTTTAAAGTACGCAATTCAGTGGTTTTCCCTATATTCACAGAGCGGTACAACCATTATCGCAATCTATTTCCAAAATATTTTCATCACCAAAAACCCCCAACCCCTATACCCCTTAACAGTCGCTTACAATTCTCCCACAGACCCACAACCACTAATCTATTGTCTGTCCCTATAAATTTATCAACTCTGGACTGGTCTTTTTTTTTTTTTAATTCTTACCCAAGGATACTTTTTTCCATTTTATTTTCAGATAGAATGAGAAAGAGAGAGAGAGAGAGAGAGAGAGAGAGAGAAACATCAATGTGAGAGAGACACATCTATTTGCTGCCTCCTGCTCGATCACCAACCAGGGCCAGGAACGAACCGCAACCAAGGTATGTGCCCTTGACCAGAATTGAACCTGCAACTCTTTGGTCCACAGGCCAACACTCTAACCACTCAGCCAAACCAGCCAGGGCTATTCTGGACATTTCCTATGAATGGGATCATACAATCTGTGGCCTTTTGTGCCCAGTTTGCCTTCAGCATGATGTTCTCAAGGTTCATCCACACTGCAGCATGAATCAGAACTTCATTCCTTATTACAGCGAATTAATATTCCATTGTATGAACAGGGATTTGAGCTGTTCCCACTCTTTGGCTATTATGAATAATACTGCTATGAGCATTCATATAAAATTTTTATGTGCACAGATGTTTCCAGTTCTTTGGGGTATGTACCTAGGAATGGAATTCCTGGGACCCATGATAACTTTATGTTTAACTTTTTGAGAAACTGCCAGACTGTCATCCACAGAGGCAATGTATGTTGATTGCAGATTCTCCACATCCTCTTCACCATTTTTTATTGTCCATCTTTTTTTATTCTAGCAATCCTGGTGGGTATGAAGTGGCATCTCATTGTGGTTTTCATTTGCATTTCATTGATAACTAATGATATAAAGCATCTTTTCAAGTTCTTATTGGCCATTTATATATCTTCTTTGGGAAAATGTCTATTAAAGTTCTTTGCCCCTTATTTTTTTATTAGTCTTGTTCTCATTTCACTATGCACCTGAGCAGCTTGGACTTGGCTTTGCCCTGGCCTATTGGCTCCAGGCCTTTGCACTTCCAGAACCTGCAGGAAGGTCTCTGGGTGCTGAATAAAGTCACTCAACCACAGAAATTGATTTTTTAAAAGTCTAGGTGGGCAGTGAGTACCCACTGACAGCCAGTAGAGGTCATTGTAGTCACCAGGGCGTGTCCTCTCCTTTTTCTAGTTGGTGTGGGGCAGGATATCGAGGTCACTCATGCTGCAGGAGGGGGATAAAGGGCATGGCCTCCAACTTCTCTCTGCCCTTCAGCGAGGTCAGCTTCACCAAGCTCACCATTCCAACACCTGAGCCTGCAGTTGGCCCAGCAGCTCAAGCCACAATCCTGGGTCAGGGAAAGACCAAAAAGAAAGCATCTTGAGTCTAGGCCCAAGACGTAGTCTATCTTGCTGCCATGGTTCGCCAGAAGGCTGATAGAGGTGAGAAGGCAAGCTAGGTGCAGTCCCTTAGGCAGTGCAGAGGCCCTGCCCCTGTAATTTCCTTACATCTGCCAACTGACCAAACTACAGCGGAACTAGAAAGCCCTCAAATACCCAGAGGCTTATCATGTATAAAAGGAAGCTGGAACCAGGCACGGGGCTCAGCCTTTGGAGGTGACTCCGCCGGACCAGCACCAGTGCGCATTAAACAGTCATTTTCTAATCCTCCGAGTGCGCGCAGTCTGTCTCTTCTCACCAACCCAATTTCTGCCACAACAGAAGCAAGAAATGAGTCAGGATCTCTCAGGAGTGGGGAGATATCCCTGAGCAGCACACCAGGGACAATGGGAAGTCCTGGAAGCTGCAGATGTGTCATGCCACCAGCTGCAGCTGAGGGTCCACCATTGCCATGTCTGCACATGTCCTTGGATAGGATGGCTCTTTGCCCATTTTTTATTAGATTATTTGTCTTTTTATTCTTGAGTTGTTAAAGTTCTTAGATAATTTGGGTGCTATTCCCTTGTCAGATGCATGACTTACAAATATTTTCTCCCATTCTGTGGGTGTAATTTTTACTTTCTTGAAATGTATTTCTTTGAAACACAGAAGTTTTTCTTTTTTTTTAATCAAGTCCAATGTACCTGGTTCTTTCTTTTTTTTTTTTTTTTTTTTGATGTTAATGTTTTTGGTGTCATATCTAAGAATTTATTGCCAAATCCAGGGTCATAAGATTTATGTCTGTTTTCTTCTAAGAGTTTTATGGTTTTAGCTCCATTAAGTCTTTTAAGTCTTTGATCCACTTTGAGTAAATTTTCCTTTGTGGATGTGGATATCCACTTGTCTCAGCACCATTTACAAAAAAGACCATTCTCTCTCCATTGACTTCTGGTATTCTTGTCAAACATCAAACCTGCAAACGCATTGGTTTATTTCTGGACTCTCAATTCTATTCACTGATCTGTATATCTATCCTTATGACTACCACACTGTTTTGAGTACTGTAACTTTAGAGTAAACTTTGAAATTGTGTGTTCTCCTATTTCAAAATCGTTTTGTTTATTCTGGGTCCCTTGCATTTCCATATGAGTTTTAGGTTAAGCTTGTTAATTTCTGCAAAGAAGCCAACTGGGATTTTGATAGGGATTGCAATGAATTTTGTGGATCAATTTGGGGAGTTTTCCCAGCTTAATAATATTGTCTTCCAATCCATGAACACTAAATGTTATCTCATTTATTTAGTTCTTCTTTAATTTTTTTCAAAAATATTTTGCTGTATTCAGTGTACTCCTTCCCTAATTACTTTGCTAGGCTGCAGAAGGTACCCAGGAATTAAAGCTGAGAACCAGACACACTGCACAGAAGTACATTAGGGCTGATGAGGGACAGAGGAGTAGGGTGTAACCCCCCTTCTCTATTCTTACGTTCCTCTCATCAGGACTCAGTTTCTCTACCTCCCTTCCTCTCTCTCTAAAGCATAAATTAGGTTGAAGAAACAAGTACTCCTAAAGATATTCTGGAAATCATGTTTAGTCCAACTTAGGCCTTCAAGGATCTAGCCAAAAACCTATTCAAAAAAAAGACAATAAAATTGATAAACATATTTTACTACAGAAAAAAAAGAAAAAGAAGACAAAAATTATCACTATCAGAAATTAGAAATGGTATCACCTCAGATCCTACAGACATTAAAAGGATAATAACAAAAGATTAGGAACAACTTTATGGCAATGAATTTGACAACTTAGATGAAATGAACCACTCCATAAAAGACACAAAAGCTTACTTTTGTACTTGAACTACCAAAGCTCACTTAAGAAGAAATAGATAATTTAAATCAACATAAATCAACTAAGGAAATTGAATGTGTGGAGTGGAAGAATTCCTACAAAGAAAAGTCAAAGCTTAGTGCTAAATTTTAACAAACATCTAAGAAATAAATAATACCAATTCTACACAAATTCTTCTAGCTAATTAAAGAAGATGGAACACTTTCTACCTCATTCATTGAGGCCAACATTAATTAACTTGATATTCAAACCAGAAAGTGACATTAAAAGAAAAGTATAGACCAATACCCCTCACAGAGAGCAAAAATTCTTAACAAAAATTGAGCAAATTGAATCCAGTGATGCAGAAAAGTATAATACATTATGACCAAGTGGGGTTTATCTCAGGAATGCAAGGGTGGTTTTAAAATTCAAAAATCAATCAATGTAATTAACTACATTAACAGACTACAAATGAAAACAAACGCCCATCTCAATAGATGCAGAAAAAGCATTCAATAAAGTCTAACATCCATTCATGACAACTCCACACAAACTAAAAATTAAAGGGCAGATCTTCAACCAGATACAGGCATATACAAAAACCTTAGCTAACATCGTATTTAATGGTGACAGGCTAAATGCTTTTCCCCTAAATCAATAAAAATGATTGTTCACTGTCACCATTTGAATTCAACATTATTCTAGGGTTTCTAGCCAATGCAACAAGAAAATAAATTAAAGGTACACATTTGGAAATAAAAAAATAACCTTGTCTTTATTTGCAATTGATATGATCATCTTTCCTAAACAATATTTTTTTAAAGCTGCTAGAACAAATAATTGAGTTCAGTAAGGTTGCAAGACACAAAGTTGCATTTATCAGAATTCTCCAGAGAAACAGAAATAGAACCAATTGTGTGTGTGTGTGTGTGTGTGTGTGTGTGTGTGTGTGTGTGTTATAAGAAATTGGCTCACATGATTATGGAGACTGACAAGCCCCAAGATCTGCAGGGTGAGTCAGCTCAGCAAGCTGGAGCCCAGGAAGGCTGGTGGTATAGCTCCAGTCTCAATTCAAAGGTCTGAGAACCAAGAGAACCAATGGTGTGGCTCCCATCCAGAGGCAGCAGGCATGAGACCCAAGATGTTTCCATTGGAGTCCAAGGGTAGTCAGGCAGAAAGAATTCTTTCTTTCTTGAGAGAGGGTCAGCCTTTTTGTCCTATTCAGGCCTTCAACTGATTGAATAAGGCTCACCCACGTTAAGGAAAGCAGTCTGCTCATTCAAAAACACCCTCACAGAAATATTCAGAATATCTAGGATAATGCTTGATGAAATATCTGGGCATGTAAACAAATGGAAAGATATAAAATGTTCATGGATCCAAAAACTCAACATTGGTAAGGTGTCATTTTACTGAAAACTGATCTAATTGATCTATCTGTAAATACAGGACAATCCCAATCAAAACACCAGCAAGCTTTCTTATATAAATGAACAAGTTGATTCTAAAATTTGTATAGAAATGCAATATTTCTTAAATAAGACACAAAAAGCATGCTATACATAAAGAAAAAAAGGTCAAGACACCAGACTTTCAAATTAAATTGTTTTGCTCTTCAAAAAACACTGTTATGGAAATGGGAAAATCACAAACTGGGAGACCACATTTGCAAAACATATACCCAAAAAGAACTTGATCCAGACTATATAAAGAACTCTTACCGCACAATAAGTTAAGCAACTCAATTTTCTTTAAACAGGCAAAAGACACAGTCCCGAATGCTGGCATCCCAGTCACTCTCTCCTCCCTGCGCTGGATAGATGGAGAAGCTGTGCCCAGCTGGCCACTTAGACCTGCCCTACCCAACTGCTAGCCAACCGCTAGTGCCAACTAGTGTTCCCCGGCCCTTGCTGTACCGTTAAGGTAGTAGCTCCTCCTCGTCCTGTCCCCTGAAGGCAGGCTGCTCTCTGAGAAGCACACCTTCTTAGGCCGGACCATCTCCCTGGGCTCCAGCAGGGTCTTGTCCACCACTGAGTCCTGCAAGGGGTTCAGGAGTGGGCACAGCTTCCTGTCAGTGCTACGGGGCACATGCAGCTCCGAGGAGCTGAGGAAACCCTTGAAGGGCACGTGGGAGGAGGTCGCACAGCCTGGGGAAGCATCATCCTCACTGGAGAGTGGGGCGTGTGAGCACAGCAGGTCCTCTAGGGAGGATGTTTGCAGCTGGGAGGGCACATCAGGGACACTGGTGAATCTTCCAATCTCTGGACCTGGGACAGGGAGGAAAGAGAGGAGAGGTCAGGCTGATGTTCCTAAAACACCTCCAGAAGTGTAGAGGACACTTCTACGCCCCCGACCCAAGCTCTGACACCTGCTTACATCTCTCATCTTCAGATCCCTCCCCATTCCCCTTTGGAGAAGGTGAAGGATGTGGGTGCAGAGGCTGTGGGCCCCACCCCTGCCCAAGGAATCCACCAGCCTCAAGTCCATGGGCATGGTGAGCATGTGTGCCTCCATAGCTTCTAGCTACCATGCATCCACACCCCATACAGAGTGACCTTTACATGCTTTTTAAATTTTGTATAAATGGTATCAACCTATGCCCACTTTATTCTGCAACATACCTTTTTGCTGCAGCATCATCTTTTTTTGAGGTTTATCCATGTTGAGTGACTTGGTAGTTACCTGGTTCATTTAACCACTTCCTGGCATACATGCGTATGCACACACACAGATACAGCAACTTTTTTATTCAGTGCCCTATTGATGCATTTGGAGCTGTTTTCAGGTTTTCTTGTAAAAACAAAGCTTTGATCAGTATCCTTGACGCACCTTCTTGCTCATAGCAAGTACCTTCTGCTGTCTACACCCGGATCCAGGTGTGTGCATGTTTAACTTTGTTTTCTGCAACAGCAGTGGAGGTTCTGATCCCACCCCCTCATCACTCCTTGGTATGTGCACAGATGGTGACACATGGCTTTTCCCTAATCCCTGGTGATTTTGAACATCTCACGTGTCCATGGGCCTCTCAGGTTTTCATTCTGTGACTTACCTATGCCTCTTCTTTGCTCATTATTTTTGGTCGGGTAGTCACTTTAAATTCTTTGTAGCAGTTCCTTATGTATTCTGCGTCCTAATTCCTTTTAGATAAAATGTCTTCTCCCAGTGGATACCTTGCTGATATTTTAACCCTTTTTGTAGTGACTTATCGTACAGAATTTTTAAATTTTTAACATCTCAAATTTAACCTATCAATTCTTCTGTGATTTATGAAATCGTTTTCTACTGCTGGGTCATGATTTTTTTTCTCCTAGTGAAAAAGCAAGTATATATATTTGGGAAAAAAATAGTTTGAGAGCTGTATTACAAAATTAAATCCTAAAATGTACCTACTCAGAAACCAACTAATCTATCCCCAGCAATGCTTTCCCCTCAAAAAAAATGTTCTCCAGAGGAAGTAATGGGTATAAGGCCTGCCTCCCACCTGCCCACACAGTGCACACAGCTAGTCCTGGTGGCTGGCTCAGGGCCTCACAGCCTCCCACCCCAGCCAACCACATGGCCCAGAAACTGTCAATGAACATCTAATAATTTACCCAGCATAAGACATCAAGAATCCCTCAGTCCTGGGTTCTTCCCCAGAGGAGAATGGAGCCCTGTGCTCAGAAGGAGGGTTGTGTCCCAGAGGTGGGGCAGGGGCTAGACCACCTCACCTCAGAGACCTGGGGAAGAGTGACATCTATTACCAGCTCTAAAGGGATTTTTGTTGTGGTCAGGTTTGGACTTTGCTTTTAGCTTTTATTTAGTAAATTGTAATTCATTCCTATTATGCTCAAGACTTCAATAAAATTGTGTTAAACATTTAAAAAAATTTTTAATCATCCGTCAAGTCCAAAATGTAGGTATAATTTTAAGCCACATTGTAATTAAACTATAAAGGTATAAAAGGAGTCAACAGGAAAAAGATGGCTGCAGGCAGGACCCGAGGGAGAGTGAGTGTGTGAGAGAGTGAGCGAGTGTGTGAGAGAGTGTGAGTGGACATGAGTGTGGATGACCACACCCGAGCAGTGCAGAGCCACGAAGCAGAGGTTCCTGCACTGTGGACGGAGCAGTCTGCTACCGCGGTGAGCAGCCCTTCAGGGCACCTCTCCCTGAGCTGCGGGGAGGTCCCACCATTTTGGAAGATCCTGGGTCTTCCCTGGGAGGAGGCAGTGGGAGCGGCTAGGGCCCAGCAACCTGAGCCCACCAGTGCACCTGGCACCATCGGACCAGTGGACACTCTGTGTCAACACAGGCCAGTGCACAGTAGTAGAGCTCCTAAGGTGCCTGTCACTGAAGCCACAGACAGCCCGGAGCCCAGCACCATCCCCCACAGTAGCAGCCTGATCAGAGTGGAGATATACCCCCAGCAACAGAGGCTGGGGAGCGGACATCCATCCCCAGACAACAGAATCACAGACCAGCAGCTGAGACTCATCCCCAAAAACTACAGCAAAAGCTGAGCAGGAGTTGAGCCCCACTGGGCAGCAGCACTCCTCAGCCACCAGCTGTGGGACCTGGGGCTCTACAGAGGCCTGTGCAATTCAGCAGCCAGCCCACGGGACTTGCAGGGTGCAAGGGCACCAGAGAGGCCTCTGCTACCCAGTAGCCCACAAAAGCCATGGGGAGCTGGAGCTGAGAGGGACTGGTGCGATCCAGCTGCCCACCCGCGGGACCTGCAGAGTGCAGGGGCACCAGAGAGGCCTATGTGACCCAGCAGGGACTGTGCCATCCAGTTACCCGTGGGACCTGCAGGGTACGGGGGCACCAGAGAGGCCTGTGTGACCCAGTTGCACACACAAGATAGGCTTAGAGGATGTGAAAATGGAGGCGGAGTGAATGGAAGCTACACAGACCGTCTCCCAGGACCAAACTGGAATTATAACCAAAACACGGACAAATTGACAGGAAAAAGCAACAGAATAGCAGCTTGCGAGGACCATATAACCAGGGATGCTGACTCGATCCTGGTAGGATTGCGAAGGCGCGAGACAGGGGCTGAGAGCCCACAGACAGCAGTGGCTTTAGCTGGGAGCAGCGATCTCAGGTTAAACTCCCAAGTGTCTCCACAGCGCAGAGCTGGGACAGAAGCCAAAATAGCCACAGCCACTCACCTTGGGCTCCGGCAGAGGGAGGGCAGATTGGACTGGAACTGTGTGGGGACTCTCGGGATTTGGAGGGTGCTCAGAGCTTTTGCTGAGTGGCAGCCACGCCAGATGATGGACATACAGTGATACCTCGGTTCTCGAACATAATTCGTTCCAGGAGGATGGTCGAGAACCGAATTGTTCGAGAACCGAAGCAATGAAACCAATAGGAAAGCGTGACTCCACAAAGCATGACTCTCTCTCTGCACTCACACTGATGACACAAGCAAGGCGCGCTGGGCCGAATGAACGCCATTTGGCTCAACTCGGCTCATCTCGGAAGTTCGAGTTCCAAATATTTGTTCGGATTCCAAGACAAAAGTTTCTCGAATCTCCTGGTCGAATACCGATTTGGTCGAAAACCGAGGCGTTCGAGAACCGAGGTATCACTGTATTGCTCCTTCCCAGGGCTCTGGGGAGAGGCAGCAGCCCCTCCCTCGGAGATTCAACCCCATCCTGTGGGCCATTGAAATGCAAATTGAGGCTTACTAACAACCAGCATCTGCCCCACCCTCGGGAAATCCCCTTATGCTGAGCACCTGAGGGAGTTTTTCAATCAACTAACAACCCAAAACTCTTCAAGTAACCTGGACTGCTAGCCTCCAGGCAAAAAGCTAGAGGATAACAGTACCATTTGTGGGCTAGCAACTCTAATCAGAAAAGTAAGACTTGGCAGTGGCGTTTAACGTGGGTCCTCCCTCGCTCATCTAAGCCCAGGAGAGGAAGCCACAAACAGCAGAACACCAATACCCACAGGGAAAACTTGGCAGGCTCCAAAGCCCACTGTGATAGCCAAAATGGTGAAACAAAGAAACAAAAGCCAAATGAAAGAACAAGAGACCTCTACCGAAGATGATATCAATGTGGAGCAGTTAGGCAAGTTAACAGAGCTAGAATTCAGAGCCATGATCTTGAGGAAGCTCAATAGCATGAGTAAGGACATAGAGATGCTAAAGATACACCAACTGAAAATTTAAAACCACCAAGAAGAGATCAAGAGTGACATATCAGAAATAAAGAACACATCGGAAGGTCTAAAGAGCAGAGTAGAGGAAGCTGAGGACCGGATCAGTGAATTAGAAGACAGGGTAGAAAAAATCAACCAATCAGAAAACCAAAAGGAAAAAATGATTAAAAAACAGAAAGACAGCTTAAGAGAACTGTGAGACAACTGGAAACGTAATAATATTCGCATCATAGGAGTCCCCGAAGTAGAAGAAAATGAGCAAGGGTTAGAGAATATATTCAAAGAAATAGTGACAGAAAACTTTCCTAATTTGGCGAAGAAAGAAGGCATTCAAGTTCAAGAAGCACAGAGAGTCCCAAGTAAGAAGAACCCAAACAGGCCCACACCAAGACACATAGTATTAAAATGCCAAAAATTAAAGACAAAGAGAGAATCCTAAAAGCAGCAAGAGATAAGCAACATGTTACCTACAAAGAAGACCCCATAAGGCTCTCAGCTGACTTCTCACAAGAAATACGACAGGCCAGAAGGGAATGGAATGAAATAATCAAGGTCATGAAAAACAAGGATCTGAATCCAAGACTACTCTACCCAGCAAGGCTATCATTCAAAATAGAAGGTCAAATAAAGAGCTTCCCAGACAAAAAAAAAAAAGGGGGGGGGAGGGCTAAGGGAATACATTAGCACCAAACCAGCACTACAAGAAATGTTTAAAAAAAAAAAACATACATATCTATAATCACCTTAAATATAAATGGACTGAGAGTAGCTGATTGGATAAGAAAGCATGATTCATATATATGTTGTTTACAAGAGACCCACCTCACAACAAAAGACTCACATAGGTTGAAAGTGAAGGGATGGAAAAAAATTTTCCAAGCAAACGAAAAGCAAAAAAAAAAAAAAGGCTGGGGTAGCAATACTCATATCTGATAAAATAGATTTCAAAATGAAGGCCATAACTAGAGACAAAGAAGGCCACTACATAATATTGAAAGGATCTATCCAACAGGAAGATATAACCTTGATAAACATATATGCACCCAATATAGGAGCACCAAAATATATTAAAAATCTTCTGGAGGACTTCCAAGGAGAAATCGACACCAATACAATC